TCCGCGAGTCCGCAGAGTCATATTTGACGCTCATGTTAGACAAAGGGGTGCCATCCACATTTGCCAACCTTAAACACCTCTACGCCGACACATTCAAAAAAGAGACATTGGAGTCATTAGCCCACGAATACGTCGCGTCTAAACAGTCCGAGTCGAAAATTGAATCTTCAGCATCCTGGGACGCTTTGAAAGGCTTACCGGCTGGACTATACTACCTTGCTCAGCATTACAATTACCGCCTATCCCGAGACCTCTCCAAAGCTTTGGAATTCGTCGAGAAGGGAATCGAATTAGCGCCCGAGAACGTTGAGTTTCACATGACCAAAGCCCGAATCTGGAAACACTATGGTAACACCGATAAAGCCGCCGAGATCATGGAGAAGGCACGCAACTTAGATTTGAAAGATCGTTATATCAACACCAAAACTGCAAAGTATCAGCTACGCAACAATGAGAGTGGCAAGGCCTTGAAGACCATGTCACTATTCACGAGGAACGACTCGCCTGGCGGCCCCGTATCTGATCTGATCGACATGCAGAGTATATGGTTTCTGACGGAGGACGGCGAGGCATCTGTACGCAGCGGCTTGATCGGTCTGGCTTTGAAGCGGTTCCACGCTGTTTACAACATTTTCGATGTTTGGCAAGAAGACCAATTTGATTTCCACAGCTTTTCTTTGAGGAAAGGCCAGATCCGTGCCTATATCGACATGGTCCGATGGGAAGACAAGCTTCGAGATCATCCCTTCTACACACGTGCGGCGCTTGGGGCCATCGCAGCATACCTGGGGCTTCACGACAGTAAAGCTATGTCGAACGGAGTTAACGGTGCGCCTAACGGAAACGCTGAGACGGATCCCGAAGTGAAGAAGGCGCTTAAGAAGGCCAAAAAGGACGCACAGAAGGCAGAACGGGAAGCAGCAGAGCAGGCAGCGAAACAGGACCCTAACAAGACAAAGTCTGCTGGCGCGGCGAACGTGAAGAGAGATGAGGATCCCCTTGGCTTAAAGTTGGCTGGCACTGCAGAACCGCTTATGGAGGCTACCAAATTCCTCACTCCGATCTTGCAATTCAGCCCTAGTAACATTGACGGACAGATTGCTGGATTTGAGGTCTATTTCAGACGAGGTATTTCAAACACATTGCTTCTCGCGAATGCCTATGCTAATGCTGATTTAGAGAAATACCTGCTCGCACTCAAGTGTGTCAATGCTGCCATTGCCATTGACCCAGCTAGCCCGACCGTGCACGAGCAGAAGATACGACTCCGTCAAGCACTAGACGCGAAGCTTGGCTCGTTGCCAGTGAAGGTGGCCGATGTTGTCAAGTCCGACTTCACCGCCATTGAGCCCTCAACAGATTTGAAAAAGTGCAATGCCGATTTCTTGCAGAAACACAAAGACAGCGCTTCGCACGTTGTAGCTGCTGTGAAGGTCCAAAGGATCTTGGGAGAGGATCTGAAGAAATGCGAGCAAGACTTGGCTGGCATCCTAAAAATCAAGACCGATGATTGGGAGCCGGCCGCTGAGGCTTTGGGTCTTCTTGCGCAGTGGCGTAGTGAAGAGGCGGAGACCTTCAAGAAAGCAGCACATGAGACATGGCCGGAGGTCAGCTTATTCGCGCCACCTCCTGCAAAGAGCACATCATAGGGTCATTGGCTTGCATGTGGCATGTCCAAATGGATGCCCTGGGGAAAGCGAGGGAACGACTTATGAGCCATGGTTGTAGATGAGATGCCGAAAGAGTGGGCGTAAGGTTGTTGGTCACGGGCTACGGACAGGCATGGTTATATAAAAATGTACAGTTAAGATAAAACGAAAGTGCTCCATCGGGATGAGGAGGGTTGAATACCATATTCACCAGACATGATGTGAGTCTCGTCCTGGGGGCTCGCCGCCATAACGAGCCGCTTGAAACTACCCATCCATTGCAAACTTACAGCCTCCAGTTACCCTACCCCATAGCTGGATGACAATGAACTAGATTCTACTCTTACCCGCAAAGTCGGAACTAAACCCAAAGCATATTGACCGGGGTAATCGTGTGGAATTTTAGGGTAAATATGCCTCGCAATTTTTGTTTGAAGGCGGCTAGCTTGAGAGGCGAGATCAAACTTACACGCCCTTAGCCATCCGCCGCTTCGGCGAGTTGGCCATCTTGGAGACTGATGTAAGCTCCGTCGACACTACAACAGTGTGGTCGGTATGTAGTAGTCAGGTGGCGTTGTGATTGGTCGAAACTGTGCATACTTGATAGTGCCAAAGACAAACGACGTGGCGATACTCGAGGCCGGGGTCATTCTCCACCTCACCCGGCACCTTGCGCCGATCTCCTCCGGCTCTGGATTTTGATGAAGCCAAAGCACTCACGGAGGAGACCAGTGACAAAGAGAACGAGGGACAAATGCTTCGTCTGTACTGGGGGCCATTCTCCTCGGTGTGAAGTAATGCGTACAGGAAACTGTCGATGCTATGGCATCATCTCCCGCCTCATGGCTTGACACTTGTTCAATGAACCGCCATCCATCAACTGACGATGCCCCAAGGCGGTCTCCTTCACTCCCCGTGTGGACGAGCGAAGAAATTCAAACGTAGTGTTGACGCTGTTCATCACATGTTACACCATCACCAATCAGAAAAATAGCACGAGACAGTCAATACAACTCATCCTTTAAGGGACACACAACCTTACGCTCCATTTCAGCCCATGAGGTGCCAGCAGGTTACTCGGAATTACTATGTACAGAGGCGACTTTCGCTTTCGTGCGTCAAAATCTCACGATAGCCAATCCTGGCTCGCCTGGGTGTGAGTCTTGGCAACGGTCCGGACCGTGTTGTGGCCACGGAGGTCATGTTATTTTAGTCAGAGAAGCAGACGAGGTTGGGCACACATGCGCACATACCACATTGCTCCGATGCAGCAGAACACGCAACCACTTGCGTTCTCCTACCCGAACAGCGCGACGAGAGCGTGCGAACAGGTCGGACACATGCAGTCCCCTATTCTCCAGGCCATCTTCTCTGACAGAGAAGTTTGAAACAGACAGCGTTCAAGCGCGTCAAGTGGACACGGCGCGATTGACGTGGTGGTCGATGGCTGGGGAGATGGTCTGGATAGGGGTTCGTACCCACTGCGATTTGAGCGGTGAAGGTCATACCACCCCAGCCTGTTCGTGGCCGCTTAGCTCCGCGACCACACAACGGCATCGCTTCATCTAGCCCCTACCGAATTCGTCCTTCACCGATCCACTGTCGGGTTGGCGGTGGCCGTTAGGTATGTACGCACAAGGGCTGGATGCGGAATAAGGGCCCTGCGCATCGCGAACTATCGAATTGTCCACCACCGCCTTTTTTCCCCCGTTCGCCATGCTCGAATCAGTCGGGAAGGGTGGGAGAGAGTATAAGACTGCGGGAACATCCCACTAGTCCCTGCTTTCTCTCTCCCTTCCCATTCTCCATGCGGGAAGCCATGCCTCTCATGGCTGGTACACTGGGATTGGGCCTGTCTGGCCTGTGGGAGTCGTCTGTGACGACGTCCCTGGAGAATTGGTTCGCGTTGCGATACCTGCTCCCTCTTATCTCGTTCGTCTGCGTTGGACTGGAGGGTTGGTGCTTCTTCGACCTGCTGCGCAAGACGGTCGGTCAGCGTGCCAGGCGCGCTGCTTTGTCTCTTGGCGCGCGGGATGAGGATGAGGATCTGGAGGTGGACTTTGAGTATGATGTTGTGAAGGACTTTCCCCTCGGGGGCTTCGAACCATGTGAGTTTTCTTTCCCTGCCGGGAGCTTTGAGGAGACAAAGTATGCTGATGAGGAATAGCGAATAACCAGCTGTGTATTCATGGATTATTGGGCATAAAGCTCCAGGCCAAGAGGTCGACATCTTCCAACTCGTGGGTTAACCTCGCACAAAGACCGTTTTTGTATTCAGTCTGGTTGACAATAAGTTAGTACAAACATCGGCCGCTATCTAGTCATCGCCAAACCACAGTCAGAAGTGCGCAAGAAGCGCAGACGAGAAATGATGGCCTATATCGCTATATGACAACACGAGTAAGCTGCATGGCAGCTCTTTACGACTACGATCGCAAATACGATCACACATACGAATTCTTACGCTCTCCGCTTCGAGGCACTGCGCAACAGACAGTCGCATAGTCGAAGAGGGAGAAAGCACCATTCTTTGAGGTTTCCTTTGTCGACAACCCAGCATCAATCGAACCGGCATATTCACGATTACGAGTCAACGAGCTTGCATTAGATGAGATTGGATATGAAAAGAAAAAAGCATGTGTTTGCATTGGCATCTTGGAAAGATACCGGGTGTCAGGTGTTTTGATTTTTGGGAATGGAATCATCATGGGGCCTCAGTCTGAAAAATCATAATGAATGAGAATGAAAGACATCTTGAATTACCACATGCGTCATACATGTCTGTCAAAAATGACGACTCTGAGCCTGACGTCCTACTTGGGCCGATTTGTGTGATCTTCAAGAAGTTCTTTATGAATCTCGAAACATTGGTCGACCAAAATTTACGATACAGAAGTGCAATATCTTTCTGATTCTGTTCGCAACACTCAACACTACCTTACGAGATAAGCGCATGGTAGCGCAGGACATACGATGTCTGCTCTCACTTGATAAAAGATGTCAAGCATTTGCTCCTTAATCCCCGACCTTGGGGTCTGTTCAGCAGACCTGAGAGAAGCAAGGTCATGCAACAAATAGGGGAGGCCATGGCAATCATCATTTGGCTTTCTGAGCGACTTTGTCCGATTATTTACTCACATATAAGGTCACTTCGTGCACATGGAAAGCCACACACCAAAACAGCACATTCCAGCTATCACTGCAGGGAGCACAGTGCTCTTTACACCACTAAGTGTGCTAACAGTGGCGCTTGACCAATCAGAAGTCTGCAAACTGCCATTTTCTCCATAAAAATTGAGAGTGCCTGTATAACCCATCATTACAATCGGACATGCACACCAAATCGAGACAATCGGGATGGCGCAATGGCAGCGCGTTGGTTTCCGGTTCCATATCGACTACCAAAGGTTGTGGGTTCGAATCCCGTTTCCGATGAGCTTTTTGCTCATATCATGTTACATTTTTTGTTTTCTTCATTGTGTTTCGAGTACAGACAGCGACTCTGAATATTGTAATATGGATATCTTTCACGCAACTGTAATGGGGTTGTGAGAGTACGCTTCTAGTCGGCTGGTGGCATAACACTGATGTATGGTGGAAATGGTGAAATGGGAATGAGTATTTGTTAGAGCTCACATTCCTATGTTAGCCCTTACACGTATCTATCTTTTTAAGCACTGCCTCCTTCTGCGCGACAAGATTATCTGACCGGGTCAAATTCATCGCGCTTGCAGAACCAGGAATTCTCAATAGGTGCTTGCAGTTGAGGTCTGCACTCCCGGTCCTGAGCCCCCAAATCGCACACAGTTTGCCCAACCAACCCACAACACCAGAATGTATGCAATGCACTTCGCAGCAGGTACATATTCATCCGTGCCAAAAGCTGCCAGAAACACCACTCTGTCATCAAGCGCCCCTGTAGTCTCATCACACATCCCAACCCAGTCCTCTAATGCAACAACGGCGCCATCCCCGTAGGAACAGGCACAGCAGCCGATGAAGACGGAGGAGTTATAGTGACGTTATCGTAGCACTTAGCATCGATATAGCAGTGACAGCCCTCCTCGCAGGCAGCGCAGTAAGCCGGGTCTGGAGGATTCGTCTGGCCAGCCGAGATCTCGACAAAGCCGCAGGACGACGATTCACGGCGGCAGTAAAGACACTCGCTGCACTTTGTGTAGTCGAGAGGGGCGGTGCAGCCGCTGTTGCAGTATAGCCCGCAGCTCTTGCAGTCGGGGGCGCATGAGAAGGATCCTTGGGCTACGACTGCGGGCAGGATCGCCAGGGCGATTGGGAGGAGTGTTGTTCCGCGCATTGTGGGAGTGTAGGTGTGTATAGTGGTGGTGGTGTGGCGGGATTGATGTTGGTGATTGAAGCAGAACTAACGTTTGCGTTCTAATTGTTCCTGCGGATGGACTGAGGACAAGATGATTCAGATAGACGAGGATGGCAACGCAGGGAAGATATACTGCGATATATATTCATTAGCTTTCATCCTTCCCAAAATCAGAGAATCCTGCCTCATGTTGAGTGTTTCTTGGTCACAGTTCGGTACCGATTGTCCGAAGGTGGCAATGATCGGCAACACGACTGTTACTCGCCCCAACGTTGAATCCTCGTATCGCGATATATAAAATTTAATTCGTTCCAGATGTACGATGCGCTGGGAAATAGGTTGAGATGACGGCGGTGTCCGAGTCTTGACCGCAAGTTACGCCACGAGATACGGACCTCATGAGCTGATGAGTTTGACTCAATTGACCGTATAGTTAGGCTCGGCGCTGGTTCGGCTGTCGGTGAATATAATACAGAGGGACCATAAAGAGTGGGTATCTAGAATACTACGGAGATGTTCAACACTGCGTCGCTTCAATCTCCGTTGATCGTCGGAATATGGGAGTCAATTCCTTAGGCGAGCCAAGGATGTCGCCCGAGATCGTTTATCAGCGTTGCATCGTGGTCTTCAGCCACGCGGACACGAGCTTTCGCTTATATGCTGCATGGAGCCTATCTAGAAATGCCATCAACAAGCAGTTGATGAACCACCCTGTGGCTCCGATGGCGAGTATACTTGCAATTCGCCTTTGGCTTTGTCCTGACAAACTCACTTAACTTATACTGCAGTCCAATAGCTGCAACCGCAATGCAAGAACTCACCTTTGTACTTCCTTGAAGAATAGCGTGCCCGAATTTCGCCATTGCGGTGTGAGCTTGAATTTCGGCTGGAAAAGGAGTCTACAGTCAATCGGTCATGCCATTTTGACCTGTTGCGTTTGTCTAGAGTTGCATTCAGAAGGGGCAAAATCTTGTGTCCCTGTCGAGCCTGTTCAAAGAAACACGAGAGCCCACAGCGTACCGTCATCCATAGAATCGACTGATAATTTGCCAAACCCAGGTGTGAGATTGATCGGAGCGGTAAGCTGACAATGGCTTCAGGCGAAGAGGCAAAGATCATGAAGAGAAGTACAGTTGCCTTACTTGAGTTTGTTCCTCAGAATGTCGAGATACCGTTCTCGGGCTCTGTGGTGGCAACATGCGGCAGATTCGTAATCTTGTTCTTGCCACGATCATGCTGTGAATCACGAGAAAACGTGACTATTCTAGACAATTTGGGCGAAAGTTTCAGGGCGCAAGGTACGTACTCGTAATATTTCAGTATAAATATTGTTACAAGCAAGCTATTCGTCGCGTCGGCCTTCTTTCACGGTCCGAGGCGACTATTCCGTTCCCTTTCCGCCGTTTTGTTGTGCCATAGCAATAGTTCATACCGTGACAACGAGGTCCAACAAGGCTTCATGGATATTATACAGCAAGTGCAGGCTATACACACGAATAAAACGCCGTCGCAAAACCCCATATGCCAGTTCCATGATAAGTTGTGCCTGTAGTAGTGGTAATAAGGCGATTTTGACAGGCGGTGAAGCTGATCATTAAGTCCGCGATTGGCTTTATTTCTGAATAGCCATACCATTCTCCACAACTTTCTTTCCTTTCCCGTCGTAAGTCGTGACACTGAAGGCCTCGAAATCGTTGTCGTCTCGCAAATCGTCCTCGTTCAAATCCAGGCCTTTCAGTACTCCTTCGCCAACTTTCGGCCAAGCTGGTGGAACCGACTCGACAGAGGATTCACGATTTGCTTGGCCGTGGACGTCAGAGATATTCTTGGATTTGCCGCTGGACTTGCCAGTGGTAAGATCGGTAGAGCTGCCGTTTGCTTCCAGTGCAAGATCGACGCCGATGAAGTTCGCAGGCCCGATAGGTTTTGGCTCAGCGCGAGGCGGAGGAACCGATGCCGTCGACGCCGTAGGCATCAATTGGGGGCCACGCTTCCCAGATCCCGGTTCCTGACCAGGGAAAATAGGAAGGTCTGGGTGAAGCTCCGTACAATACATGATGATATTTACCAATTGGGCGTGCGTGACGTTAGTAAGATACGCCCGTCTCTATTTCTTTGTTAGTATATACGATGCATGGTACGAAAATAAGTGGACTTGACTCGCCTGGCTTGCATTCTTTGAAGCCCAGCTCACTCCTTTGAATCCCTCGACCGTCTTCTTCTTTGCCAGTGCCTTCTCCCGCTTAGCCACGCAGCGGCTACAAAGCCAAGACTGACTTTCATTACTAACGAAGTCATCATCGATGTAAGGCTCGTGGCACAGCTGATGCCAGCAGGAATTGCACCCGTCGCAAAAAACAATCTGATTCGTATTTGGACTCAGGCTCCTGGTGCACACCTTGCAGAGAGCTTGTTCTGTCGTACGCTTACCGTAATGCTTGCGCTTCGAGCCCGTCATTTCCGAAGGATTGTACGTCGTCGGCTTCTGAACCTGGCGGCCTGATTTGGTCATGGTGGCAGCGGCCGTGCTCTTTGCTGACGGCTCAAAGTCACTATCAGAGAGCTCGCTCAAGCTTGACGAGGTGTCATTGCCGTCCTTGCCGCGTTTCCTCTTAACTCCTCTTTCTTGTTTGATCTTAACCTTACGTGGGATGGATGTCGACGCGGCTGGCATTGCAGGCATGGGCATGAGCATGGCCGAAGGGGGTAGTGACGCTGGTGTTTTGAGTGTGAGTCCTTCCTGTGTCGGAGTAATTGGTACTTGCGAACTAGACTCTGGAAGCTTTGGTGGTGACAGTGATTCCGACATTGGTATCGTAGAGGTGTTCATGCTCATGACAAGTCGCCTTCTAGCGTCCTCAAGTGCTGATTTGTCGATGTTCTTCGCAACGGAAGTTGCTGATAAAAGAGCTTCAGATAGGCTTCCAGGCTTGCTTCTTATGCGCGAAAGTATCATCTCTGTGGCTGCGGAGAATTGGGGCATGTATGGGCGCCGCCCAGATGAACTGGTTGAGCTGGGAGCCGGACTCGGGGCAGTGGCTGGTGGCCTCGCCGTTGGATCTTGTTCGACTGATGCTAGATCCCCGAGGGCGGGTTTCGCGTCCTTTTGAGTACCCTCCATTACGAGAAAAATACCTTGTTCAACTACACAGAACACCCTTTTTGACCTGAAGCGCGTCAGCAGTGGCCCAAGTCCAATGGTTGGCAGGTCAGGCCCAGGTAGGTACCTTTGCTTGCGCGTGGACAGAGTTAAGTAAATGTCGATGCATACAGCGAGTACTGTGACGACCGCATCAACCGTGCCCTCACCACCTACTCACAAGTCACTCAAGCAACAACATTGAATACCGAATCAAGTTAAGCACGCCCGGTTTGTTCAAATTCCAGGCTTGCATCGTAACCTTTCGGCACGGGACGAAGAGGTGGAGGTTCGGCACGTGATGCTCACGTGACCGATTTACTTCCATACCTTACCTTAAGTACCTCTATTCCCGAGACTTTACCTCGTCCCATCTAATATATATACAAAGGACCTATATTGTGTCGAGTTTCATCATCTACGTGGATCTAAAATACTTTCTATGTTATCATCAAGACAAAGTCAACTAATTGCACCCTTCTCTCTCAGCGAAGAGATGATGCTGCCGTCCATTTCTAAGATGTCGCCAAGTACCTCGTCCGTGTGCTGGCCCAGAGTAGGGGGTGCGGTTCGGATGCTGGGCTTGCTCTCGCTGTACTTCACTGGAGTGTTGACCAGCTTCATCGGACCGCACTGTTCATGTTCGAGCTCAACTACCATGTTCCTTGCCCTCGTGTGCTCATGGTTCAGTGTTCCCTGGATGTCATTTACGGCAGCATAGGGCATGCCTTTGCCTTCGAAAACCTCGAGCCACTCTTGTGTTGTCTTCTGAACACTAATTTTTTCGATTTCTTCCTCGAGCTCAACTCGATTCGCAACTCTCTGAGAATTGACGCTGTACTTCGAGTCTGTCTTCCACTCTGGGCGGCCCAAGCCATCACATAGAATACCGAAAAGCCTGTCGTTGCCACCACCGAAAAGTACATCTCCATCCTTGGTCTTAAATGACTTGTATGGAAC